TTTAACACCTTCTTTAGTGAAACTGGAGCTGGTAAACATGTACCACGAGCTGTTTTTGTTGATTTAGAACCAACTGTCATTGGTAAAAATGAAACAAATAAATATGATGATTAGAAATAATTGTTATTTTATTTTTTAGATGAAGTACGTACTGGTACTTATCGTCAATTATTTCATCCAGAACAATTAATTACTGGCAAGGAAGATGCTGGTAAGTGTATTTAATCAACAAAAAATCTTCTCTTGTATATATGTATTATAATTTTAGCTAATAATTATGCTCGTGGTCATTACACCATTGGTAAAGAAATTGTCGATTTAGTACTTGATCGTATTCGTAAATTGGCCGATCAATGTACTGGTCTTCAAGGATTTCTCATTTTTCATAGTTTCGGAGGTAAATTCTTTGATAGAAACATAAAATATAATTCTAATTTTTATTTTCGTTTAAAATAGGTGGTACTGGTTCAGGTTTTACATCATTATTAATGGAACGTCTTAGTGTTGATTATGGTAAAAAATCAAAACTTGAATTTGCTGTTTATCCAGCACCACAAATTTCAACTGCTGTTGTTGAACCATACAATTCAATTTTAACAACACATACAACACTCGAACATTCAGATTGTGCTTTTATGGTTGATAATGGTTTGTAGATTTTTTTGAATTTTTACTTGAATTAAATCAATTAAAAATTTTAGAGGCTATTTATGATATTTGTCGTCGTAATTTGGATATTGAACGTCCAACATATACAAATTTAAATCGTTTAATTGCTCAAATTGTTTCATCGATTACAGCATCATTACGTTTTGATGGTGCACTTAATGTTGATCTTACAGAATTTCAAACTAATTTAGTACCATATCCTCGTATTCACTTTCCATTAGCTACCTATGCACCAATTATTAGCGGTATGAAAAGAAAAAAGTTTCGGTTGTATTATTTATTGGAATAATATTTTTTTTTTACGTTTTCAGCTGAAAAAGCTTATCACGAACAATTAACTGTTGCTGAAATTACAAATGCTGTTTTTGAACCAGCTAATCAAATGGTTAAATGTGATCCTCGACATGGTAAAATTAATGAGTTTTATTTTGTTTTTTTTCATTTGTAAAATTCAATTTTTTTTTAAAGGTAAATATATGGCTTGCTGTCTTTTATATCGAGGTGATGTTGTACCAAAGGATGTTAATGCAGCTATTGCTACAATTAAAACAAAACGAACAATTCAATTTGTTGATTGGTGTCCAACAGGTTTTAAAGTTGGTATTAACTATCAACCTCCAACTGTTGTACCAGGTGGTGATTTAGCTAAAGTACAACGTGCTGTTTGTATGTTATCAAATACAACAGCTATTGCCGGTATGGATTTTTATATTGTTATTTTATGTATTCTTTTTTTTGTTTTATTATTAATGTTTTGCTTGGTTTTTTCAGAGGCTTGGGCTCGTCTTGATCATAAATTTGATTTAATGTATGCTAAACGTGCTTTTGTTCATTGGTATGTTGGTGAAGGTATGGAAGAAGGTGAATTTTCAGAAGCACGTGAAGATTTAGCTGCATTAGAAAAAGATTATGAAGAAGTTGGCGTTGATTCAGTTGAAGTATGGAAACATATGTTTTGTTTTATTTTTTTTTTCTACTATTCGATTTCTTTTAGGGTGAAGGTGAAGGTGAAGGCGAAGAATATTAAACAACGACAACAAATAATAACTATCTTACATATCTTTATATTTCTTCTTCTTATTATTTTTTTTTTCATATATTGTATCTTTAAAAACAAAAAGATGTCGATGAATAAATAAAAGAAGATCAGTTTTAATTAATAGAAAATAGTTTGTTGTAAATTTAGAGAAGTTAGATTAACAGATCATTTTATCAAATTGAATAGAAGCATTTTGCACACAAGATCTAAAATATGAATGAATTGTTCATATTCAAATCATTACATATATAATGCAATATAATCAACGGAATTTCTCCGAAACTATGAATCGAAAATTTGTCAATTGAATAAAGAGAAAGAAAAAGATGTCATCGAGTAGATACTCAAAATTATAGTAGAAAAAACATTATTTAAATAAAATCACATAAATAATGTTTCAGAAATTCTGCAACGATACAATATCAAACAAAAGACGGCAGACGGCATTAGCAGACTGCATAGGTTATAGCACAATTAATTCTGTTATCTATAACACTTGTCTTATCTTGATTTTTTTTTAATATCATTGTTACGTATTTCTTATATTTTTCTTATTTGAATATTTATTTATACATAGTAGTTATCGTTTGCCAATAGTGATTTAATTAATTGTAAAAGAAATAGTCATTGATTTACAAACTAAATGTGTTGAACATGATGACTATTACTTGAGAGGATCAGAAAAAAGAAATGTACTTACTCATAGATGTTAGGACAGCTTATCAGTGTTGACTCTTTATCAAAGGAACTTATGAATAATATTAAAAATGCAAAGAATTACGAAGGAGATGATAACATTATATAATTTTTATTAAACACAAATATCGAGAGCAGCACTCCTGGATTTAGTTATTAGAGTACTTTATTGGCATTAAAGATATTTTTTTTTCTGTATAAATTCATTTTTATCAATGTGAAATATATAAATTTGAAAAGCTTATGTCACAGTTTTTTTTTTGGTACACATATTTCCTTTCAACACTTTTATAAATCCAGTTCGATGATCTGTTAGTAATATTATACCATTATATAGCCTATAATGTCCACTAGTGAACATCCAAGTATAATGGTAAAATAATAGAAATTCATTTCAGACAAAAGCGATTACACAAACTATTCCTCAACATGAATTTGAGACCAAAGAACTACAGTACTAATTAACTACTAGGTTTCAAATCTATAGCTTTTACAATGAATAAGTACTCGTAACAATATAGTCATGTAATATCATAGGAAACATCTATTTTTATCAATGGATGAAGCTCATTCCTCTAATGTTCGTCGTAAGAAAATGTATTTTACAGGTGATAGTTGTTCAAAATGCAATCGAACTATTGTAGCACAAAATGCAGTTGAAAGAATAAGGTGATTTACGAAATGATGTTTTTCAATATAATCAAGACCATCAACAAAAGATGCAAATGTCTTTATCAATCGAATTGAACTAAAAAATTGTACTGTAAAAAGTGTATTAAAAGAAAACTTATATTTCCTTAATCGTAGTAAAAACTAAAGGCCAGAAACTTAGTACTTTATTTACTACTGATTAAGTAATACAATAATTTGTTAAAGTTGCAAAGAGTTTACTTTTGTCGAATGCAAGAATGATGAATTTTAAAATCATTTTCAAAATTTCTTGGACACCATTTAAATAATTCCAAGATATTTTTGATTCGATTATTAGTGAAATATTCATGAATCTATTTTAGTTGTGCTCTTGCTAATTTCATTATTCTCTAAATTGATAATAGACTAAAACGGTATGCATAGAAAAGGCCGAAACAAAAAATATCGAAACAAAAAACATCGAAAAAAAAAATATCGAAAGAAAAAATACCGAAGGTGTAAAAATGTCGAAAAAATTGTGAGTGCGAATCAAGAGAAAAGTCATATTTTTATTCATACTAGGATCCTGCAGCATACGGCTTTGCCGTACCTCATCCTCTTTCTATCCTAAAAGTTTTACGCTCTTACTCAGTGCTTTCCACGTCTGATCGGTCTAACCAAGACTGAAAAATACCAATCCTGGATCTATAGACTTTAATAGATTCTAATGAATCTTGGTGATCAAAATGAAGTCAAGTAGTTTCATCTGACTCCATGGACAGTCACCTAGATCTCGAATCTACTTTTTCTCTCTCAAGGCTAACCCTACTTTACTCTATAACTTGTTACTTAAACGTTAGTCTACGCGACTCATATTTGCACCCCACACACATATATTTTATGTTCAAATTTTCGATATTTACTTTTTTCGACGTAACTATCATTCGACATTTTTTTTCCGATCTTTTTGGTTTCGATGTTTTTTTTCGACGTTTTTAGTTTCGACGTTTTTTCTTTCGGTCTTTTCTATACCATTCATTAAAACGATTGGTTCAAAAAAAGAATTTTCATATCAGAAATAACTATTATTTTATTCTTCAAAATAATTATAAAAAATTTCTACAAGCGATTATGAATAAATGTTGCACTATAAGTTGATCTATGATTCAATATTATTTTATCATTGAGAAAGGATACTTCCACGGAATTAAAGATTTTTTGTAATCTAGAGAAAGATTTTTAGTTGTTGGCAACGAAATCATTTATTAAGTTTGTTTTCAATTTTCTGAAATTCTTTGTATTTATATGAGACTTATGATTATCATGATTAATGTAAACATTTATATGCTCTATATATTTTATCTTATGATAAGATGAGATGTCAAATATTATGCTTACTAAAATAAAATACTGATAAGTTCACATATTTAAGCTATTTTGTACGTGAAATAATTCTAAATATATAAAATGTTTTACATCGATACTCAATAAGAAGATGAAAGAAAGCGGAATCTTTTATATAAATCAAAAAAAAAAGTAAAATGTCTTTTCATCTTATTATTATTTTATTTCAAATAGAAACAAAAAGAGAATTTGATAGAAGATAATGTCATTGATAATAAAAAGGCCATTCTAATTCTACATAAAATGTTCCTTTTTTTATAATCAACTTCTTATTATGTCGTTCACTAGTCTTTCTTCTTTTTTTTTTTCTTCATAACATTAGAATAAGAGATATTTATTATGATTATTATTTTCTTTTTGTGTTTTCGGCGGAATATAGTTCGGATTTCATTTAGTAAATGAATAATTAAAACGAAATGAAATAATAAAAAGAAAATTGATTGAATAACAACGACAGAATGAAATAAGTTGTAATAAATTTCGTACAAAATTCTCATTTATTTGTTATTAAAACAATCATAAAAAATGACGTGTTCCCTTTTAGTTTATAGTTTTATTAAATATGTCACAATTTATATTAATAATCATATTATTGCTACCAATAATTGTTGAATTGAAAGGTAAAAATTTTCTTATTTATTAAAATTCTGATTATCATATATAGAACATTGGTCTTATGAAAATATTACAATATGGTCACATGATAATCGTTATTGTGGTGGAAATTTACAATCACCAATTGATTTACGTTTTAATAAATCACATATTGATCGTCGTCTTAAAGCTATGTATTTACAAAAACAAAATTCTCATGGTAAATAAATACGGATTTATATTTTTCGGATTTTAATTTATTATTTTATATTTATAGATTCACTGCAACTTATCAATAATGGTCACACAGGTAAGTTTCGTTATAAAGTATTTTATTTTGTTCAGCACTACGATATCCAGCAACTAAGTAAACAAAATTAAGCTTTTTTTATTTTAAGGGTCAATGAGGTCAGGAACCAAAAGTCCTAAAAGAATTTCGACCCGGTTCGAGAAATCACTGGAATTTCGAGCCGGGTCGAAATTCATGTAACCCTCTTTATTTAAGATTTAGGTAAAAGCCTGGTTCAAAAAACTTTTTCTTGTACTGCTATAAATTTCTCGGATATTATTCGTATGAATACCGGACAGTTGGGTATGGATGTGGGCAGGAGCCGCGCGAAAGGTCTAAGATTGGGGGGAGGGTGTAGCAGGTTTTGAAAGGATGTAAAAATTTTTGGGGGGTGTAAAAGGGTATTTAGAGCAAAATTTCTTAAAAAAAACACAAAATTTGTTTCAAATCTGCTCCCGTCGCTCAAAAAAAAACAAAAATTTTCAATTATTGGGGGGGTGTACGCCCCCCACACCCCCCCCGCTCGCGCGGCTCCTGGATGTGGGTATAGGTATTAAAGAGCTGTGGATCCACCTTCTTTGTGAACCCGGATCTGGCTCAGCTTGGATCTGCAGTTCTCTAATACTCACACCCTTTTTTTCACTACTTTACGTAGTACGATAGCCATTAATTTCGGGAGGGCTAACTCGACCTTCGAAGGAGTACTGTCCTCATGGTGGATAAAACACTAGTTATATATATATCTGTATACAACAGATGAATTTTAATCATTCAGTATAATATTTGTCTTGCATAGCTCAACTTAATTTAAAAAATCATTTTGTATTAAAAAATGTTGCTCCGGCAAGTGAAGATTATCGAGTAGAACAAATACATTTTCATTGGGGTCATGCAAATGATGATGTTAATGGATCAGAACATTTACTTGAAGGACGATCATATCCATTAGAAGTAATTCTAAGTTATTTAATTGAAATCTTTAATAGAAATTTATATTTAGATGCATATGGTAACTTATTCAAGTTGGTTTTCAAACATTCATGAAGCAATGTCGAATACACGTGCACTTGCTGTTGTGGGTGTTTTCTTTGAAGTAAATTTCTAATTCTATGTTCTTTTTTTGTTTTCAATATATTCTTTTCTTGATTATTAGCTTAGTTTTGAGTCAAATCCATTTCTTCAACCAATAATTAATGCATTAGGACGTATTCGAGATAATGGTAAACATGTTGTTATTAACGAAAATTTCAATTTAAAAGCTTTAATTGGTGAAAAACGTATGCGTCGTTATTATCGTTATGATGGTTCATTAACAACTCCACCTTGTTATGAATCAGTCATATGGAGTGTTTTACAAGAACCATTACAATTATCATCCGAACAACTTCAAGCTTTTCAACGTTTACATGGAGAAAAATCTGTATTAATGAAAAATACATATCGAACAATACAATCTATTGGTTCAAGAAAATTATTTCGTAGTTTTACTTCAGAAAATATTCATGATGATGAAATCAAGAAACAAATATCATCATCAACAAGCTATGGTCAATATTTATCTGTTAATATGAAATTTCTTTTTGTTTTAATGAACCTTTTAATGCTTATTGCCTGAAAGAAAAAACGCTCCATAATTTGTCTATTTTTTTTTCCTGTCATTTAGAATATTCTCGCGTCTATATGAATTTCTGAATTATTATCCCGATAAATGAATAAAATATTGATTCATATCTTTATAACGAAGATAGTCAAAAAAATATTTAATTTTTTTTTTGCATTAAATTAGAACATAATATTCTGGATTAGAACTAAATAAATAAAAATTTCCTAGATGCCAATGTGCGATTAAACTGCATTGATCTATAATCGAGTAAATCTCACGAGAAAATATTCTGAATTATCAAAAGACTTTTTACTTCAAACTATTGCCATTCGATTGGTCATGATAACTAGTGAAAAAGTTTGTTCTAGTTCCGTTTTCCAGCTGTCAACGTATAGGCGCTTTGCTTGATTTTTGTTGTTTTATGAACATTGAATCTCGGAGGAGTTGGATTATCGAATTTTAGTTCGAAATTAGACAATGCAACATCTCCACGATCCTATGCTCATAGGGCAAAAATCAAGTAAAACGCCTAATACTTCAACATGCCTCATAGCATCTATTTGCGAATATTCTTCGTAAATCTATTCAGTTTCTTTGAAATAAGAGATACAAGCAAGCATCTTATTTCGTTAGAATCATCAGGTTGTAAGCTACAAAATTATCTATTTAGCTTTTTTAGATTATATTTTTATTGCTGACAAAATTGATTTCTTTTGTCCCTTTTATTGATAACATGAGATGAGAGTATTAAAAAATGTGCTCGTATTTAACGATTTTATTATTATGACTCACTTAAAACCAGAAATAGATAGCATATTTGAAATTAGCGTCAAAAACTGCATCAAATCACGTATTTTTTTCTGCAAAAAACATGCCTTGGGGGACTAGTGGCAAAATTTCTGGAAAATAGACCTGAGTGAGATCGCAGGTGTATTTTCCATCGGATACAGTTTTTAATAGAACATATATGATTCGATTCAATTTTTGACGCTAAATCCGAATATATTGTCTATTTCGCGTTTTAACTGAATTATGATAATACTTAGGGCATACCAAAAGTAGTGGCGCCCGCATCTCAATTTCTTATAGGAGGCTTGAGTAAATTTTCTTTTTTATGAAGTGATAGAGAAAACGAAGCTCTATTTTTCTGTGCTATTTCATCTCTATTTAACTGGTATCATATTAATAGAATTTCGATAAGAACTGTTTTTGCGTAAAACTTCACTAGTACATTAGTACGCTTTCTATTCCAATTTCTAATTATTTAATACGTTATACTTAAAAACAAAAGATACCAAAAGATGCAGCGTGAAAAGCTCTACAATTTATAAAGAACAGTTTATTTTGTATTTGAAATACTTAAAAAGAAATTTCTCTTCCCATGATTTTTTTCGGGCAACGAAGATTGGTTACACAAAATTTTGTTTTCTTTTGACAAGGCGACATAATTAAAACAAGCTTCATTGTGTAAATTGTAGAGCTTTTCACGCCGCCTCTTGTGATATATTTTGTTTTTTTTTAAACAAAGGATATCAGATGACAAAAAGATGAAATAAGAAAAAATGAACTCATCTTACATCAAAAACTATTGTTTTCTCACGTCCGAAACTTGGTCACTCAAAATTTTGTTCATTTTGAAAACAAAAAGTGCAACTATAAAAAAAGTCATCTTATGTAAATTGTAGAGCTTTTCACGCTGCATCATTTGGTATCTTTTGTTTTTTAATACAAGTAACGCGACGCAAACGTCGCTAACCCTCTACTGAAAGGATGTGATTTCCTTGAACATATGGTACTCACGAAGAAGAAGATTACAGAACTAATGTGCTGCTATGCATCTATAAAAAGATAAATAGTTCTCGTCACCATGACCCGCTTGCTAATTGATTGGATTTGATTTAACCATCGTGGGGTGTGGATGTGTGTGGGTGTGTGGGTGTGGGGCGTGTGTGTGTGGAGTGTGGGATGTGTATGGGTGTGGGGTGTGGGTATGGGGTGTGGGCGTGTGTCTTCACTTTATCCATACTCAGACACACCCCACATCCACCCACCCACACCCCACGATGGTTAAATCAAACCCAATCAATTAGCAAGCGAGCCATGGTGACGAGAACTATTTATCTTTTTATAGATGCATAGCAGCACATTAGTTTTATGATCTTCTTCTCCGTGAGTACCATATGTTCAAGGAAATCACATCCTTTCAGTAGAGGGTTAGCGACGTTTGCGTCGCGTTACTTGTTTTTTTGAACAACCTCATCGAATTTAAAGAGTTTAAATTAGTTGTGATAAAGAACATTCTTGAATTCTATCATTTTGAAAATAATCTGGGTAGAGGAACCTTAATATAGTTGAAGAATCAAAAAATAGATATTTTGAAAAATATTAGCCGCCTTTCAACACTAGATTTCTCTAGAGCAAGCACCCTTAAATGATTTGCTAGACATTTAAATGTTGTACTGTCATCAGAAGCAGACCTCGAATTTCAGTGGCTTATCCTTGATTAAGTCTGATCAAGCTTAATACAGATATATGATCATATTCAGTTGTTTGGGATGTCATATTTTCTTATCCTGAACTCTGACTTTCCTGAATAAAACGGAGAGACAAACATGTATGGCTTTTTAAGTGGGATATGTATTGCTATATGACTGTTTCTTTAAGAAAACGAAATTAGATGTCATTTAGTTGTTTCCGTTTGTTCAGCGAGTTCAGTAGCATGACCAAGCGGCGACCACCCTAAATCAGAACAACTTGAAAAAAAAACATGTTTTTTTCAAAATTATAGTATTGCGCACAGCTTCTTGAAACCTTTAGGACGGCACAACTACATCTATTTTTGCTTACGACACAACAAGCAAATAACGCCCTGCTAGCATTCACAAATCCTTTACTGGATAGGCTATATTACGTCAAATGTCTAATAAGGAATTATTTTGGTTTAAGTATCAGATCATTTGACAATTTCTGAAGGTGCCTCAACTTTCACTTATTATACTTACGATAAGCCTTCGAAATCAACGTCTAGTCGTTCGCATATATGGTTTATTTTTCTTCCTACCATTTGTCACATTAGTACCCTGATGCGCAGAAAAAATAGTTTACTCATGACGTATCGATAGATAATCAAAAATTTCCAACATTTAAATAATGTTGTGTACTTTTCGTCATAGTTTTCAACTTCTTTTTATTTTAACAAAATGATATGTTGCCGAATTTGTTTTCAAATCAGCATTAGTTAAGTTCTTCTGAGAATCTCCCTAAACCGCTTCAGACTCATTTCAAAATTATGCTCTAAAATAACCTTCTAAGTCAGCGTCTAGTCGTTCGTCGGCCTCCCTCCGGTCGGCCACTCACGACTAGCCGTGCCCATAGTTAACGCCATTAAATTGTTCGATATTACTTCAGGTTTGAAGCGAATAGATGCATCCCGTTTGAATTCCTTTCGAAAATTTACTGAGCATATGTTAATACCCTCATCAAGAAGAAACTAAAAAATGAGAACTATTTATAAATTGCTACAAATAGAGTACATTACATTGTTGCTTAGAAAAGATTTTCGTCTATTTTAAATGTTATTTTACATTTGATGCCTACGAAGAGTCAATAACTGGACTTCAAGTGACCACTTCGTTTTCTACATATGTATGTATAAATCTTACCCAAAGACCTGGCGTTTTGTAGTTAACAAGAAAAAATACTTATATTAAAAGCAATCTCGAGCATGAATTCGCGACCCTTGACTAGCCTTAAGTCAAGCTTAAAATAACAAGGAATTCATTAAAAGAAGCTTAAAAAAGGCCAAAAAGACTTCGATTAACTTCGAATTCGCATTTTTCATGCTCGATAATGATCAGCCAAGTTTTATAGAAAACAATGATACATTAATTTATCATTAATTAATAATTGCCAATATTGGAAAGCTGAACTCAGATTTGCATTCCTCATAGCCGATTCTCTTCAGTAGAGTTTTACTGGAGACAGTTAATATTACTGACTATTACTTATTTGATAAAAACAACTGAGTTTTGACTTATCGATCTTGGATTAAACTTATTAAGAAAAGTATAAAACTAATTCCTAGTTGTTTATTAACTTGTTATTAAAATCACATTTGGTTCAGATTCGCTATATTTTCCTTCGATTAATTTTCGTAGAGTTTTTTATAGACTATCAGAAGCTTTTGATATCAATCTAGCCGACACCGTTTTCGCATTGGCTAGGGTGCACAAATATACAGACAGACTTTAGAATCAGCCATACATGTAGAACTGCAAATTTATTGTATGTTATATCATCTCTCTCCTTCAATCTAAGAAAAAAATCATTATTTTCTTAAAAAAACCTTCCGCAGCCAAAAACTCATTTCAAAAACTTTTACGAAAACTCGCGACGGACTCAGATTTCTCAATCTCTGACGTCTTTGGTCAAACCTTATAGCAAACAGTTTTTTTCGTAAAAAACTTTTTCCTTGTCTAAAAAGGTCTGTCTCAAAAACTAATCACGGATTCAGATTCGTCGACCTCGAAGACGTTTGTTCAAACTTTATAAAAAAAACGTCTTCTTTTACCAAAAAAATGATTTCAAACAATTTTCAAAACTAATACTACCAATCGATTCCTCGACCTCGGAAACGTTTGATCAAACTTTATAACAAAAACATTTTTTTGCTAGAAAATCTCTCTTTTTCGTAAAAAACATCTATTTGAAAAAATTTTCAAAAACTAATGTCACCATTCGATTCCTTGACCCCAAAAACCCATGGTAAAGATTTTTATGATTTGTGAAACACTAGTCTAGTTGATATACGCATCTCTATTTTCTGATTGGTTAGGACAGGCAGGCGGAGAGACGGACAGACAAACTTTAAGGATATTTACCGCCGTATAACCCTTTCTTTCAGAAAAGGGAACAAACGTAAACCATAATACCTAATAACAAATAAAAAAGAAATCTGATTGGCTGATTTGTCCCCCCCTCTAAAATCCCATTGGTTGAAACCACAATGTCAA